ATACAGTTGCACAAATGTTACAACTTTATAGTTGTCGAAGCAGGTAGATATGAGAATATGAGTTGCGTGGAGAAGGACTCTTGAAACTGTGTTGAACAAGTTAAACAGTTAAGACTTGGAGAAGGTGACACCGCAGCAATACAGTCATACTTTTCGACTATGCAAGCACGGTGCTCGGGGTTCTACTTTAGTCTAGATTCGGATGAAGAGTCACGTCTTAATGTTTCTTGAGTAGCTAGTGGGAGTTGGTAAGCATGTATGAAGTTTGGCGATTTTTTACCTTCGACACCACATACTTGACAAACAAGTATGACATGCCCTTTGTCCCTTTTGTTGGAGTGAGTCATCACAGATAGTCGATACTCCTCGGATGTGGTCTTATATCAAATGAAGATACGATACATTTGTGTAGCTTTTAGGGCATGACTACAGTGTATGCAGTCGAGAATTGAGTGCACGGGTAAACGGCGACTTGAAGTAAATGACATTGGAACAAAAGTTATAACTTTACAGTTGTCGAAGCAGGTAGATATGAGAATATGACGTGCATGGAGAAGGACTGTCGAAACTGTGTTGAACAAATTAGGCAGTTAAGACTTAGAGAAGGTGACGCCAAAGCAATGCAATCATACTTTTCGACTATGCAAGCATAGTGCTCGATGTTCTACTTTAGTCCAGATTCTGATGAAGAGTCACATCTTAGAAATTTTTTTGAGCAGCTAATGGGAATCAGTAAGCATGCATGAAGTTTAGCGATGTTGTCACATTCGATACCACATACTTGACAAACAAGTATGACATGTTGTGCCCCTTTTGTTGGAGTGAATCATCATAGACAATCGATACTCCTCAAATGTGGTCTTATATCAAATGAAGATATAAATACATTTGTGTAGCTTTTTAGGGCATGGCTGCAGTACATGCAGCCACATGCAGCCAAGAATTGAGTGCACAGGCAAGAATACCGTTGCACAAAAGTTACAACTTTACAGTTGTCGAAACAGGTGGATATGAGAATATGACCTGCGTGGAGAAGGACTCTCAAAACTGTGTTGAACAAGTTAGGCATTTAAGACTTGGAGAAGGTGATGCTGCAGTAATACAATCATAATTTTCGACTATGCAAGCACGGTTCTCGGGGTTCTACATTAGTCTAGATTTGGATGAAGAGTCACGTCTTAGAAATGTTTTTTCAGTAGCTAATGGGAATCGGTAAGCATGTATAGAGTTTGACGATATTGTCACCTTCGATACCACATACCGACAAACAAGTATGACATGTCGTTTGCCCCTTTTATTGGTGTGAATCATCACAGACACTCGATACTCCTCGAATGTGGTCTTATATCAAATGAAGATACGGATACATTTGTGAAGCTTTTTAGGGCATGGCTGCAGTGCATGTACAACCAAGCTCCCAAAGGGATAATTGAATCAAAATAGACAAACGCTATATAGACAATAAAAATCGAGATTTCAAATAGCGACCACGATTACAAAATCAAATTACTTAATTAGTACATCCAAATCAAACTACTAATTCATAAATACATTAGTGAAATAACATCGTGAAATTAATCACTACAACTCATTAATGTCCCTTTCCTTTCTTATCCTTGTCCGCATTTGCTCTTCCTTTGAATAATGTCATGTTAACAAAAATCTCCACATCCTGTTCATCAATCGACATTGAGATTCAAACATGGCAGATAGTTCTCCAGCTTCTTCGTTCGTCACATGATTATTCGAAGTAATGCTAACTACACTTGATTCACCACTCATTTCACCATCTTGGACCCACTCCCAATAACCATATTTTGCACTGTAGGTATTAAATAATCTACCTTGTTATTACTCTCTTTCTCCACCTCAAAGCACTTTAGGAATGTATGTTTGCACCATGGGCAACAGTGTTTCTCTAGATAATCCGCAAAAAAATGCCCCTTATGTCTATAAATATGACAGACTCCATGATTGTTTATTACCATCGTAAGCTAGGAATAAGCCACAATAGATCGAATGCCATTTAGATGGAGTCGGAATTCAAAGTAAAATCCCACTTCAAACTGTGAACTTACATTAATCAAAATACAAATACATATGTGCAAGTACTATAATTCCAGTTTTCACTTCATTCAAGCTACCAAAAAATCAAATGTGAACCTTAAAGAGAAGAAAAATGATAAAACAAAATATTCAAACTGTTAAAGATGCAGGATTTTTTTTTTTAAATCCGTCCCATACCTATTCCCCCACCCCACCCCACCATTACCTTCCCCCGTCCCAACCCATGAAGCATAAAATAGCTGAAACAGAGTTGGATTTGGTCATAAAATCCAACAAAGCAGATTTATTGTGTTTACATGTCACAATCCTGATTTCTTACAAAGAGATCTACACTCATGTAAATCGAACAACAAACTTACTTCCGCTTGCAAGAGATTCTGTCGAAGAAGATAGGACTGGTCGTCGAACAACTCACAAACGCCTTCAACGATTTTTCTGATGCAACTGGATAATCGCCGTAGGTGGTGATGATGTTCAATTCTTCTGGTGCAATAGGAAAAGCGAAGTAGAGCTGCCGTGGTTTGGTGCCGATGCTCGAGGGTTAGAGGGATTGGGGGGAAAACAAATGGTTGTGGGATTGTGCGGGTTGGGTAGTGGAGTTATGTAGGTTGGATAATTTGGGTCCTTTTTTTTTTTTTTTTGGACGGTGCATTTTCTTTTCTGTACTTTTTGTTTTTCCACGTCATCAAGTCAACCGCTCTATCAATCGATACTGTAGCACAATTGATGTCCACATACCATCAATGACCGTGTCTATTTTCTATCTAAATGTCATCTTGTTAATTAATTTGGCAAGATAGAGAAAGAGAATAGTAGTTGATGTCAACCTAATAAATCGATTTTAAATTTGATTTGATTTCGATCTTACATTAATGGTGTGTTTGACACCCATTTTTTGAAGATAAAATTTTTTAGAATAGTGATTAATAGGAGAATGTGTGGTAGAAAAGTTATGAAAAGTTTTAGTATGTGTAATATTATTTTATTGAAAAAATGTGTGGTTGAAATGAAGTAAAAGAAAAAAAAAGAGAATGGGAATGGATATGGGTTAATTGTCATATATTTCAACCACGGTCAGTAAACGCTAGTCAAATCTACGGCGGCCGTTGAATACTGCATGCGCCCGGCGCCCCCACCCATTAAACTCAAAATTGAACATTCTACCCCGACAATATGAAAGTTCGACGGTCAATTCCGGTTTGTTCCGCAGAACTTCACATAATTTTGCCGCAAAAATGGAAAATTCAACCCAAGAATCGCACCTCCGATCGGAAAGAATGTCACTTTTAACTCCCCCTAGGCCCTACCCATATAGGCCATGACAGTGTCTACCACCACCTCCGCCGCCGCCGCAGCATTTCTGTTAGCAGCTTCATTGAAGAATTCGACAAACGGGTTGAAATTCTTTTCTTCGACGATGAAACCTACTCCATCAAGCCCGCAACTTCCCTCTCCTTGGGACACCCTTACCCCCAACTAAGCTCACGTTCCACCACACCTCTATCGCCGCCACCAACCTCTTCGCCTCCTCCGGCGACTTCCTCCGCCTCTTGGAACTCCGGGACGCCTCCATTGAGCCAATCTGTACCTTCAATAATAGCAAGACTAATGAATTCTGCCTCCATTAACCGCATTCGATTGGAACGAAGTGGAGCTACGGAGAATCGGTACTTCCAGCATTGACACCACTTGTACTTAATAAGTATTTAATTTTGAGCGTGGTGGATGAAATATGTTTTTTACTTGCATGGTCTATGTCATATTGTTTGGCAATAACTGAAATTTTCTGAACATTACCGCGTTGTTTTCCAGAGTTGAGTTTAGTAACACTCCAGGTTTCTTTGAAATTTGCGGCATTAGTCAATAAGTTGATTCTAATTGATGGGTAGTTTTCATTTGTGTAATATTTTCAATGATCATCCATCTTCCTACACATAAGCACAGAACATATGAGGTAAATGTGAAATTAGACTGCCATCTTTCCTTGAAAAAGGTGCAAAATTCTAACAAGAAACAATTCAACCCTGCTATTTTGTTTTTGAAGAAATGCTTCATGGGGAAGAAGGTGCAATTAGTGGCCTTTTGAAGTTTCTTAATTCTAGTTTTATGTAAATAGCAGAAAAAAAAATGTTACTTCAGCTCTTAAGGATGGTTCTTCTGTGTTTTCGTATGATGGACGTATTGAAGGTTCATGTATGCCCCGAAAGTGTCAAATGTTTGGATTCATTGGAAGCTTCTAATTTGACAATCAACATGTACCCACTACCCGCACAGATCAATATCTTTTGAAGTACTTGAAGAAATTGAAATTCTTGAGTTCCCACATGTTTTACATGTTATTCAGAACTCTCTTTCCGGAGAGCCGTGTCTCAATAATTTGAAATTGACTTTAGAATATATTTTATGCATTTGAGCCCTTTGATTTTATCATCAAGTGGTCAATTTATCTGGAAAATGTTTGCCTACACTGTGGCCAGAACTCTGAGCTTGGCAAGATGAATGCTCTAGTTTCTTTCTTTTGGGCGGGTTAGGGGTGGTGTGCTTTGTTCTTTTGCTATTAATATGGTTCGTCGCAAACAGGCTCACTGTCAAGCTGGAATACATATGATAGTGCATATCACTTTTGCGTATTACCCCAGTCCTATCCGTACTGCCTCACTCCCAAGTGGAGTGATACGTGCAAAAGACATTGGAATTTGCTTAGAACACTGAAATTTTAAAATTGCATCTGTAAAATATATGCCATGTAGTGCTAGACAGGTAAATTCAAGACAATATTTCATATAAGAGATTCTGAAACAAACACTGAACATAAAGGTTTCTCCAATTTGGGTATTGAGTGCATCTTCTTGTTGAATATGTGGATATTATGCTATTTACAAAAACGCACTTCACTTCTTACCATGAAATCCTTTTGGTTGTTTTGAGAAAATTCAAATGGCAGTTGAACATTGTGTTCCCTGTTTGGAACTTAGGGGAGGTGATGGTATAGGTCCAAATGGCACGATAGCTACACAGTTTACATTGAACCTATACTTCCTGGAAACCCAACTCCAAACCTTCCATCGAAGTTTTCCGATTACCTTGACAGTCAACATTAGTTTTCCGGTTCTCTGATCACCCCTGACATCATAACCGAAGGACGGAGCCACAGGTTGCTGATTTCCAACCAGAGATGCACTCAGGTAATTGGTTTCTTCATGCTCTTGGTGAAATGGAGGGATAGAAGTATCGTGAGTAATTTTTTGACTCTTGTAAGATGCACATACTTGTATCTCATCATAATAAATTCCAACTTTCTTGTTTGGATTGTTGGACAGGAGAGTGAGCTGGACTGAAGAGTTGAGAAGGGAGGGGCCTGACAGGTTGAGTTGATTGATTTCAACCTCTTTGAGAGAAAACTTCGGCTTTGTGGGGTATAAGATGAGCCAAACTAGCAAGATGAATGATAAAACTGTAAGCAGAAATGTAGAGAAAGCAACAAAGAGCTTCTTGTTGAATTTCTTTAAGTTGAGTCCTCGCTTGGCACAGTGTTTGGGAGATTTTTCATGAATTTGAGACATTTGCAGAGCAGAGAAAGGGGAGTTACTTAGTAAACAGAGAAGTCGAAATGATATGGTTAATAAAGGATTCTTTAACTTAGAAAGCGGCAATTATTTTGCTCAGTAAGGAAAAATCCCTTTGTGATTCATGAATATGCATACACTTGCTGTCATGTGATAGAATTTACAAGTATATCTTGAACTTGAAGATTTAATTTTTCGCAGCCTTGGATATCTATCTTAGAGGAATCTGATGGGAAAAAGTTTTAGAATTATTGGAAGAAAAGTGGTGCACTTTATAAAGTTGGAAGAAATAGAATAGGTAGTGGTCTTTTCCATTCATGATAACTTGTGCAATCAGCAAATGAGTTTCCATGAGTATGATGATTAACTGTTAAAATTGGCATGAAGTCTATGTAGAAATGTTAAATTATTTGTAATCAAAGTCTCCATGGTGTTGCTTTCTTTGAATTTGTTAGGCTTTGCAGAAAAGGAGCTCAAAAAGGAAGAGTGGAGAATCTGAGAAATTGACTTTATGGGAGCCCCTGGGGCTCAGGTGAATGTGTCCCATATTGTCGTTAACTTTGGAGTTAAGAAAAGTTTATGGCTTGATGGTGAAGTCGACTATACAAAGGTTTATTATGGCTTGTTGGTAAAGTCGATTACACAGCACTTAAACAACCCTATGTTGCAGGGCCGAGGGAGGATCTTGAAAATAATATTACAGTCTGGGAAGCAAAATCCCTTTAAAATCTCAGTTATTGAACATCAATAAAGAAAAAGATGATCTACCCCATTATCTTGATTGATTTCTCATTTGACCCTTCCTTTTTTTGACTTTTCTCCTTTTTTATTTTGGTTTGGGACCTGGGAATCATGTCTTGATATCACGGGCGCGCCTTCCTTCCAGTGCAGAAAGATACATTGTGTGGTTGTAGTCTACTCAGCTACATTATCTTCTACCTATTCTCGATCGATCAGAATGAAAGACAACTTTAAAAAAATTTACAACAAAAGATTTGAATGAAATGAAAATAACTTGTTCATTGATTAACGAAAGCAATAGAAATTCTAGAAAATTTTAAAAGAAATGATATTTTAGACACAGCTTCCTTAATTTGTAATTTCGATAAAAATTTTAAACATCTTTTACATTCTGAAGATAAACAGTTATTTAGTATCGTAGATTTACTCGTAAATTTAGGAGAAAATTTAGAAAAGAATAATTCAAATAAAAAAGTAGAAACTTTATTAGAAAATATAAATAAATATATAAAGACTTTGGAAAGTAATTTAGAATATATTAAAAACCAAAACACTGAAATATTAAAAAGAAAATTTAGTCATATAGAAGAAGTAGATACTAGTTCTAATAATTTAGAAAAAATAGAAAGTAGAGTTAAGTACTAGAAAAAGAAAAGTCAATAGATACTAAACAAGATTTAGATAATATAATAAATAAACTAGAAAAATTAGATTTAGGTAAAATTAAAGAGTCTGGTAAATTTAAGAAAACTGAGTGGATTTATACGTTATTGATAAAGGAAAACAAATTGTAGCTAGTAGTAGTAGATTCCTTTATTAAGAACATTAAGTAGAAAAATGGAATCTGAAACAAGATTAGAATCCCTAATAAATATAAAAGAACAAATAAACAAAATAAATTAAAATTAATAAAAACTTTAGATATATATAAAAAAGGGAATATGTTTAGCAAATCTTTAATATATCAGCATTATAGTGAAAAATATGTTTCTTGTACACAAGAAGATCAATTTATATCTTTAGATCTAATAGAAAAAGAATCCTATAAAGAAATTGTTAATAAAAATCTTCAACATGTTGTAAATAGTAAGTTATTGGTGAATGACAATTGTACCCCTACAGCCCTAGATATTATTACCATATGTATCACTATTCATTCCCTATAAATATAGGGCTTTGATTTTCATTATGATACACACAAGTCTATTGACTTCTCTTATTCTCTTTTTTTTCTCTCTTTTTATAAAATGTTATCAGCACGATCTACTGCAATCAAATATTTTTTATGTGCACAAACGTTAATAATTTGTGAGCCACGCAATGATTCATTTAGATTACAAGGACATCAATCATATATTATAATAATATGTTGAAAATGGCCCAAATCCTATTTCTAACTTCTAAGTACACGCATCCGCCTCGGTAAGTGTATCTATTGATTTATGAATTGAGCAGTATAGTCTGTAAAATTATTAATATTTTATTATATCATACTCCGACTGAAATTTGAGCTGCTTCTACATTATTCAAATAAATAACACATAACAAAGGTTTAGAAAAAAAAAATCCTATTTATAGTTTTATTTTCCGGTTAATTATGTCGGTTTCTTGATGTGTGTAATTTAAACATTATTGGATGTGACCGACAGAATTTATATGAGTTGAAAATTTAGGATTTCTTTTTTAAAAAAAAAGAAGTTTGATACACTCAATAGTAATAACAAAATTGCTTCATAATAACAAAATTTGTTCTTTGTTTTGTTTTTAGTTAAAATTGCAAATTAAATAATTTTATGATGATCATAGAATATTTTTATGTCTTTAATCTAATTAAATATTTTTAGATATTCTTCTATAAAATTTAAATTAATAATTTATTTCGTTGTTGCTCCTGAAGTAGCACAACATTATAATTAATATTTCAGAAAAATATTAATCGTAGATCTATCAATTATAAATAGTTTGTTATTACTCCTGAAGTAGCATAACATTATAATTGATATTCCTGAAAAATATTACTTGCTCTTGAAGAGTATGAATTATATTTTTTTTTCAGAAGAATATTGACATGTGATTCTTAAAGAAGCACAACTCTGTAAATATTATATTATCATAGAAAATATATTCTTGAAGAGTTAATGTTTTCTAAATAATAATTTATTATTGCTCATAAAGTAGCAAACTACTATTTATGTTCTAGTTATATTTTGTTTGCTCCCGAAGAGCATAATTAAAAATTATGTTTTTACTCCCGAATAGTAAATTCTTATACAATTTATTATTTTAAATAATAATATGTTATTGCTCCTGAATAGCACGACAATACGATTCCAATATTCAAAAAAAAAAATGACATATTGCTCCAGAAGAAGAGAAATAATATATATTAGTATTTTTGAATAATACTGTATTGTGTTCCTGAAGAAGCACAAATTTATACATATGTATATTTTCGAAGGATGTTATGATTAATTTAAATATATCGATATTTTTGAAGAATATTGTTCTATTATTTGTGAATAATCATAACTAGGTATATATCAATATTCCAGAAGAATATTGTTTTGATATTATAGACGAGTCAATACTGCGTAATGTAGGAGAATAAAATTTTACTATTGAAAGTATTCTCTACTAAGTTAAAGAGAAACATGCCATATTTTTAAAATGTGTGGTACAATTAAAATAAATATTATATTGAATCAGAAGTTCAATTTGTTTGGCATGACCAGTTGGATCATCACTGGATCAATAATGACGTGAAATGAGAATTCAAATGGATATTTAACGAAGAACCAGAAGATTCTTCAATCCAAAGAATTCATATTTGATATTTGTTCTCTTTATTGAAAATTAGTCATTGATCGTTACTAGTTAAATAAAGATTGAATTCCCTATATTTCTAAAAATTAATTAGGGTGATATATGGGGTCCCGTCACCCTCCACGTTAACCATCTATATATTATTTGTATCTAATAGATTTGATACAAATATTAGATGATTGCATGGTGTTCGTAACCTGAAGTTTACGAAAGTGCTACTCAAATTATGAGCATAATTTTCAGATTATACAATTAAGACGTTGTGTTTTTTTAATACTAGTGATCCTAAATCTCAACTTTTTAATAGGTGTTAGTTGAGATGTCGATAAATGGTTTAACATTATTGTTTGTTAAACGTCTCCAATTAATTTCATTGAGAACCAAATACTTCTCATTTCAGTTTAGGGAAAGTCATCACGCATCATGCTAAAATCATAGTACTCCTAGTTATAACTTAGCTTATGATCAAAGCCTAATTTTTCCATCAAATTATTTCGATATTGCAATATATGTAAAATTAATCCACCACAATGTACTGAGATGGAAAGTAAAAAAAAAATGTTGAGAATAAATGCGTAGTATGAACTCTTATCCCAAATGAATGATATTTTATAACTCAGTAAAAATTATTGTCAATTTGATTTGACAATTCTCTCTGCATTAGAGAGAAAAAATAAGAAGTTGAAAATAATATAAAAATGCATCATTATCTAAATCTTCGCAAGAGACAATTCGAACCAGAAGTTTGATAGATAATTAATTTAGATGCATTTACTGACCAAAGAGATTAACGATCTCACACATCAGCTTTAAATGCTCCAAATTGAATTGATTCCTGGAAGACAATTCGTTAATATTATATTTGATAAATTTATGGCACGCCTGAAGCGTGATGATATTCGATTCTATTACAAAATCTTCCAAACGAAAATGGAGCAATTGATAAAGATGGTTTTATTAAGAAAACATATGCTCTTAATGAGTATTTAGACATAACATATTATAAAACCCTAGAAGAGGTTCAGGTACCTGAAATAATGAAAATTGAGATATCTTAATAAGTTATGTCATTACAAAAAAAAAAAAAAATCGAAAAAGATAAGAAAAAGTTGTCGACTTGCACATGATGTAGTGCATCATATTATGAATATCGATTAATCGAAATAAATTCATTGATATTGATCGAAGTAATGATTGGCCAATTTTAGTGAAAGAATTTACTAGAGAAACATGAAATTTTTGGATCTACAATCTGAACATATAAAGGTGTATATTTATGTGAAATGAAAATGAAAAAAGTAAGTTGTAATATGAAATGTACGATTCTTTACATAATGAATTTCTCGAAGACTTGTATAAATAGATAAATTAGCGTGACAATACATGAAATTTGATATGCTATGATAAATGTGATTACAGACAAATTATGGTTT